GACTTAAAAACTAAGTACTTATCTATTTATTACACAAAATTCATACACAAAAATTTCATATGTACATACATACATACACTATAGTGCGAAACTGAGTCCATGGTGATTTTTGTTGTACATGTGCAAGGTTTTTAAAGTTAAATTTTTTTTGTTACTTTTTTATGAAAACATGGTTTATGCTTTAACCAAAACTATATAAATCAAACTTTCAGTTTTTATGCAGAGCTTAGAAAAACTCAACAAATTTTTCTAAAAATTGTGGACTTTTAAAAAACTTTCAAACATTTTTGGGTAGTTTTGTAGCCTGTTAAATTTTAGTATGATAAAGCGCAAGTTTTAAGCGGATAAAAAATTGCTGACGGCTTTTGCGGTTTTTTTTATACAACAAGTGCAATTTATAAAAACTGACAATGAAAAAGTTTTTAAAAATCAACGCCATTTTTTATCCGCTTACAACTTGCGCTTTATCAGACTAAAATTTAAGAGGCTATAAAACTGCATGCCCAAAAAAAACTGCATGCCCATTCGTTTAGCAAATTCTGCGAACAGTTGGGAAATTTCGCTTCAAAATCAATTTCAACCTGCAGTATAATTGAAAATATACAAATTCCAAAGTTTTATATCATAAATAAGAAAATTTAAAATAGGTACATATATAAAGCTAAACTTACCAAAGTGTATCCAAGACTGTGTTTCAGCAGCGGCCAATTAGTTAAAATATTTGCGTGTTCATTTAAAATCTCTGCGGTTCTTAATTTGACTGTGTTCGTCCATTTTTCTACAACATCGCCCCAAGGCTCTACATTATGACAAAGCCAATTTTTCATGGCTAAGTCATTTTCATCTGCTAATCGAAGGAAATATTAATCATGGTTTTTCCTTACATGTGTATGTACTTATTTTTGTATGTATGTACGTGTAGGTATTGCACCGTGCGACAAAAACAAAAAAATTTCGAAACCCACGAAGCAATCAATATACTCACGAAACTGTGGGCCAAATATAGTGGTATATACATACATACACGTACATAGATCAGTGATGCCAGACATTCTCTGTTAAAAATCCCACGAAAATGGGGAAAAAATCCCTCAATTACCCACATCTTGAAAATTTATCCCACAAAATTCCCAACGAATTTAAACATACCCATGTTTCAGTAGTAAAGAAGTAAAATTCATATAAAATAATAATAATAGTTTGGCGCTTACATATATGTGCTTTTCCTCCAAATTGTGGCGGTTCCCTTGATGTTGTCACACAAAGGGGAGGGACCTACAGTTTTACGCCGACTCCGAATGGCAAGTGTATTTTTATGAGAAGCTGTTTTTCATGGCAGGAATACACTCGGAGGTTTGCCATTGCCTGCCGAGGGCCGACCGCTGTTAGGAAAAAACCCCTTTTTCTGCATTTTTTTCACTCATTCAATTTTTCACTTTCATTTTTTTGCTCACTCACTAAGGGCTTAAAAGAATTTTTTGGTGACTTTAAAATGGAAGCACATTCATGTGCTATTTAACATTTCATCAGATAATTTGTTCCGCTTTTTACATGAAATACCAGTTACAACTGAAAAGATTCTTTCTTACTCAGCGCTTGAATTGGTTAACGTAAGAAAATTTTCGAAATTGGCCTTATACTTTTTAACAATTATATACCATTTCACTCCACATCACATCTTCAGAACGATTAATTACGTAAGAATGTCGAATATTCTTGAATTTTGATCAATTATGCAACAATAACTGCGTCAAAAGAAAATCCCTTATTTATATGAAATGTCCCTTTTTTCCCTTTTAATAATTTTTGATGCAAAATATCCCTCAAAGAGGGAAATTACCCACAATCTGGCATCACTGACATAGATAAGTACGTTTTTGTAAAATTAAATTTACTATTGCTCGCCTGCTCCGACAAACTTGATTGAGTGGGTTGACATTTAGGTGCAACGCTTAGTGCTCCTGTTTCTTTTTTTATTTTCCTTCGGATGTTTGTTGCCTCATCATAAAGTTTGCCTGTTGGATTTTTGCCATTTCGACGGTTGCAGTAATAGCGCTAAATAAAAGTAAAATAAATGCATTTAAGTGTTGAATTTTTTTTTTTTAATATTCACAACGTTTTTCAAGCTAAATTTATTCTGTTATTTTTCTATAAAAATTGTATCCAAGCTTTAGCCAAAACCATATAAATCAGAGTTTCGAACTTTCTTCCACTTTTTATTTCGTAAGAAATTCATGCTTATAAGGAAAAAAGGGCAAAAATCTGTCAGCTAAAAAATTATTAAAAATCAGTGCTATTTTTTATCCGCTTGAAACTTGATCCTCCTTTACATATGTATTTACAAATTTTGATAGCAAGTGAATATGAAAATGCATACATACCATGTCTTCGTTGGGAAATAAAATTGTTATTTGCTCAGAAAAGGTGATGATATCTTTCATTGTCATAGGCACTGATCGCGCTGAGAAGTGGTCAACAATGGTATTTACCAAAATGTCACGACTAACATCTGACAGCACGGTCTTTTCTCTATATTGTTTAAAGATGCTTTGACCTCTTTCAGTGGCATTAAGTATTAACTTTAAATTCTTTGCTTCCATGTCTCTTATCGAGTCGTGAGACTCTTGGCTAGAATTTATCCAACTCTTGCATGATCCTATTGACGAAATGGTATCAGCCTTAAAATAAAAAAAGTATGCAAAGCTTATCATTGATGTGAAAATGATTTACTTACTTCATTCTGTCGACAACGTGCAACTCTTTCTTTAAACTTTACTCTCGTTCCGAGCATTGATGCAGGGAAAAGTTCATTTATGTCCCCATCGTTGATGAAATACAGACTTTCTACATCCATTCCGCAATCTGTCAATAACATAAATATGCATATGGTTCCTCGCAGATTCTCAAAGAACTTACCGAGAATTCTTTGATAAACTTCTTCACTGAAGTTCATTTTACCACATACGACGTCTTTCAAATTTTCTTTTTCACGTGAAGCTTCAGTGGCTTGGCTTTGCTGCAGTGAAGTCTCAACTTCATTCCCCATGGTTAAATCACCATCAACAACGAAATATATGCCCGCCGATTCCCCAAAGACATTTTCTGTACCCATTCTTCTTAATATTTAAATAGCTTTTTTTAATAATCTTTCACAAATAATACACCAAATAAAAATGCAACCGAATGACGAAGAACGCGCACGCAAATAAAATATTACGGTACTTTTATGTTCTCTAACCACATACCCTGTAAAATTCACAATAGCTCATGTCAAAACAAACAGAAATCATGTTGCCAGACCTTTTTAACATCAACTAAATGTAAATTTAACACTTTATGTGTTTGAATCAACATTATTTAAAAAAACCCTCATGTAAATTTTACAATAACTCAGGTTGCAACAAACAGGAATCACGTTGCCATATATTTTTAACACTATTCACATGTAAATTTAACACTATATCTTGGTAAATTAACCAAAAATACTTCATGTTACTTTTAACACTTTTTTCCTGTTAAAAATATCATGTTAAAATGGAAAAATTGTTGTTGTTTCGTGTGTACAACTGTTTCATGTGAATTTAACATTGATCGTGTTACTTAAAAATCGAGGATATTTTTCTGGGTGTAGAATATATGAATTGACAATGCCGGCCTTAGCCCAATGAATGGCATAATCTATGTTAATGATTTCTTCTTTTAAAATTTTCAGTTTGTATTTTAATTCTATAGCAAAATTGTGCTGTATGTCTTCCTTATTTTGTACAGCTTTCAAAATTTTACTTGATACCGCTGTTATATTATTTATCCTATCAAATAATGTTTTATTTATTACTACTTGATTGTTGTTATTGTTTATTATATTATTTATTAGGCTTTCCAGAATTACAAGGTCATCATGATCGGGATTTCCTGCAATCCACTTCCAGGCTTTTCCTAGTGAATCTATTGATTTCTTAAATCTCTTGGGTTTGAGTCTGTCTAGAAATTTTTGGGTTAAATTCAATTCGTTAATAAGGATGGGTAAAAGAGAATTTTCCGTATTTATCTTGGTTTTTATGGTACTGCTTATTTCGTTTAATGAATTCTGCCATGCGTCTAGGTCTACTTTATGTATAATTCTGTAGGTTCCTGTTTGTATTTTCGTCAGTCCTGTGTCGAATGTTACTAACTGAGAATTTGTATAGTCTATTATTTTGAAGTCTGCGTACACTAGGAGCACGAAAAGTCTGTAAAAGAAAAAAAATAAAGAGAAAACAAAATTTTTTACTAACGTGGTCTAAGTCTTAATGTTACTCTTATGTACAGTTCGTCCTTTTTCGGTGATAACTATACTTGATTTGTCTTCCTTGACTATTTCCTTTCTATATCTAGCTGTTAGTTTGGATCCTATGCGCTTGTTTATCCTAACATAAATTACGTCGCCAGGAGTGTATAGATTCATAGCTTTTCTAGTTTTGTTATGATTTTCTAAACCTTTTGCCTGTCTCTTCCTAAGGGTTTCTATGTTTTCGCGTCGAGAGTTTTCGTATTGTTCTGGGTCTACAGATACACGTCTGCCGAAAAATGTCTCAATGGGTCGTTTTCCTGTCAC